GCTTGAAAACATGACAGCTTAGCATATATAGGACATACTTCGGTTCTGCTGGATTGACACTTACTTAGGACCCCCAGATCTGATAGTTTATAACACAGGAACTAACTTTACGGCTACTAAGTTCCAACAGAACACTCAGACCCTGAGTATTCGAACCAAGGCAGTTCCTACTAAAGCAGCTCAATCAATAGGCATTATCGAACGATATTATGCACCTTTACGCCATGTATATAAAGAGATATTAGAGAAATTAGCAGGTATAACTACAGGCAAAGCTATCCTTTTACAACTCTTAGTCAAGGCAATTAATGATATAATAGGACCTGACGGATTAGTACTAACTTTGCTAGTATTTGGCTTATACCCTCGACTATCTAAATCTGACCCTCCTTCCCCTTCAATTACTCAGAGAACAGCTACTATCAAGAAAGCTACCCAAGAACTCTTGAAGCTATAGGCAAATCGACAAGTTATAGACGCTCTACGATAGCGTAATGGCCCACGAGTCGATAATATACATAATTTGGAAGCTAGATCAGAGGTGTTAGTTTGGAAGATTCACAAGAAGGTATGGAACAGGCTATACAAGCTCTTGATAATTAAAGGAGAGATAGCTACATCTGCAAAAATGTTAAGCGTCAGGAAATTTCAGAATTTTTATATAGTACTAACGACGTCAAAATTGCATCAATACTGTCAAAATCGCTAGGTAGGCCGTCAAAATCGTGTCAATGCCGTCAAAATCAATAGGCGAGCCGTCAAAATCGCGTCAATGCCGTTAAAATCGCTAGGTGGGCTGTTAAAATCGTGTCAATACTGTCAAAATCAATAGGCGAGCCGTCAAAATCGCATCAATGCTGTCAAAATCGCTAGGTAGGCCGTCAAAATCGTGTCAATGCTGTCAAAATCAATAGGTGAGCCGTCAAAATCGCGTCAATACTGTCAAAATCACTAGGTAAGCTATCAAAATTGTGTCAATACCATCAAAATAACTAAGTAATTCCCTTAAATATATATACTCTAATCTAATACTTAAATATATACACTCTAATGCTCGAATACACACGCTCCAATACTTGAATACACACGCTCTAATACTCGAATATACACGCTCTAATGCTCGAATACACACACTCTAATGCTCGAATACACACGCTCTAATGCTCGAATACATACACTCTAATGCTCGAATATATACACTCTAATGCTCGAATATATACACTCTAATGCTCGAATATACACGCTCCAATGCTCGAATACACACGCTCCAATGCTCGAATACACACGCTCCAATGCTCGAATACACACGCTCTAATGCTTGAATACACACGCTCTAATGCTCGAATACACACACTCTAATGCTTGAATACACACGCTCTAATGCTTGAATATACACACTCTAATGCTCAAATACACACACTCTAATACTCGAATACACACACTCTAATGCTTGAATACACACACTCTAATGCTCAAATACACACACTCTAATGCTTAAATATATACGCTCTAATGCTTAAATACATACGCTCTAATATTTAGCTAGTAATATATTTAAATAATAATAATAATATATTAAACCTATCAAACCTGTCAAACCTATCAAACCTGTCAAACCTGTCAAAATAATTAAGTGGGCTGTTAAATGCGTCAAAAATTTAGGCGGGCTGTCAAACGCGTCAAAAATTTAGGTAGGTTATCAAACGCGTCAAAATAATTAGGTAGGCTGTCAAACCTATCAAAATAAGGAGCATAAGCAGATCCGTCAAGCTGTCATTAACGTCAAAATCAGCTCAACATTTTTGCAGATATATAGTGGAAATCAATAGACAACCTATCCAGTTCAGGACTACAGTTATAAAGCTGTATTTACAGGAACCACTAGCTTCAGAGCAAGTAATTCAACCAGACAAACCTATAGATAAAACCCTATTACTAGAAGCAGCTATTCAGCCAGCTATTCAGCCAGACAACACTATTCTAGAGGATACTATCATAATAGAAGAACCTAGCCAACCAGAGCCTTTATGAAGACCTTAAGGCTATCTACAGAAACAACCTCAACCTTCTAATGACTCTTTTATAGCTGATATTACGATCTGTATCCCTGATCCCAATACCTAGCTTAATGGTAAACCTTTCGAACAGTCTTACTAAAAGGAATTGAACAGCTTATTTAAACACGGTATCTTCAAAATCATCAACTATATCCTACCTAATAGTCAGCTCTTCAAGACTAGGTTTATAGATAAGATTAAGTTCGCTAGTACTAAGAAAGCCTTTGAAAAATCCCGACTAGTCGTCTAGGGATATAGTAATAGTGGTAAGGATAAGATTCTCATATAAGCACCAACTATTTAGCAGGCTAGTCAACAGATACTCTTAAGTCTTGCACCTTCTTTTTATACCTAGAATATAAAGCTGTATTTATAGGACATTTCTCAAGCCTATATACAGTCTTAGATACAGCTAACTAGGGATATTTATCTTAACCCTCCTACTAAACTAGGCCTTCAGTCGAAGTTTTTATAGCTTATCCAACCTCTTTACAGATTAGCTGAATCAGGCACTTACTAGCATAATATATACTACAAACACTATATTAAGAAGCTTGATATAGAAGACTTAACCTTTAATCCTTGTCTCTTAATTAAGAAGCATAGTAATAGAGTCATTAGTATAAAAACTATCGATACATTACTATTGGCTAATACTACCCTAGCTAATAAGGAAGAAGCAGCCTTGACCTTTTCTTCAAAGCCTTACTAGGAGTTACTAACTATATCACCTATTCTTTTTAATAGTACAGTTATCTAGCTTTATGATACAGACAATTCAATTATAATCAGCCAGACCTATCAGATTTCAAAGATTGAATTAGCTACAGATTACGAATTATATATCGCTTAACGTGCCTAAGGAGTATATATTGTAACTGTATCAAAGCCAGAGCAAGCTTTTGGATACTCTTTTACTGTACAGGTGATTAATTCGACTATTACGGATAAACAGATTGATTTTCTGAACAAACAACTATCCTAGCAACTTGATCACCCTGATAGAAGACTATGCTTTGTTCCCTTTGACCTACAGACCCTTTATATGGCTATATTTACAGACTCTTCTCTTGCGAACAACCACGACATATCTTCCTAGATCAGATATATAGTTATTACAGTAGATAAGGACAACAGAGCTAATATAATCTACTAGAGTTCAGTCAAATACAAGCGTGTTACTTGAAGCATCTTAGTAGCTGAGTTATATACTATATCCTTGGGTTTTGATAACGCAGCAGTGATCAAATAGACGATTCAACAGATCCTACATCGACCAATCGATCTTACAATCTACATTGTCTTGAAATCCCTTTATGACTACCTTATACGACTCAGAACAATACACGAGAAGCGATTAATGATCGATATAATGTGTCTTTGATAAGCCTACAAGTGTAGAGAGGTATCACAAGTAGTGTGGATCGATAGGAAGCACAACATAGCCGGTGCCATGACAAAGGAGAAGCCTAGCAACAGCCTCAAGGCTCTTATTGATTCGAATCGGCTTGATATAACGGAAGGGACGATTGGCTAGGTGGATCGGGTAGATACACGAACAGATACGGGTGATAAGGGTAGAAATTTACGGGCTCAAGACAACTGAGTTACGTCCAAATCCGAGGACTTCTTCGAATCAACCTCTGTTTCCTCTTCAGGACTAGCCTCGAGAACGACGAGCTCTGATTGGATGGATTAAGTATTGAACTGGCTAAATAGGGTAAAGCCTCTTTCTTCTAGGTTTGCCCAGGTGGTGTGAAGGCGCAGACAGATCGCACAGGTTATCTCCGAGCGCAGACGGGTGATCTCACGGGAACACCTGCGCGCACTGGTGGTGTGAAGGTGCAGACAGATCGCACAGGTTATCTCCGAGCGCAGACGGGTGATCTCACGGGAACACCTGCGCGTACTAGTGGTCTGACGTTGCGGCTTGCGCAGACAGGTGATCTTGAGGGGAAATCGAGACCTGCACGCACAGATAAGTAAGACGCTAGAAGTAAGACTCTAGATGATGTCACTAGCGTTGCACCAGAGATATCTACAGGCAAGGCTAACGTCAAGTCGTTTGACGTTGACGAGGAGCTGGTCGACCTGTTGGAGACAGGCGGTAATCACGCCCTCTGGGACGAAGAGGCTGATCAGCGGTCCGACGAGGCTAGGGAGCAAGAGAAAGAGCCTTGGGTTCCCAAGGTCTGGCTGGATGCATTGCTGGAATGCACAGATGCATCGCCCCTAGGCCCCGCTATCCGCGAGATGCTCGGTGAATGCTCTATCTGGCATGCCGATTTCAGGGTGATGAGGATGAGGATAGGGACGAGGCAAGTCCTGAGATAGACCCTCAGTAAGTTTCCCACCTCTAGAATGGATTACTAATTCTTGTTTGTAAAACAAGGGCCGCTACATATGTACGGTCGGGGAACTCACTCGGCGCCTGTACCTTGGCGTTCCCTACGAACCTTCATCTCTAATAGAGTATGGAGAGCCGAGACCAAGTCACTAGAATATTATTACCTTTAGCAGGGAATCCCGATCACGGTTCGTAGTGAATGAAGAGCAGCGTTGTATTGCTTAGGAGTTCCGGAACTGCTTTTTGGGAAACTTGTACAGCATGTCCTTGACTCAGAACCTCTTCGTGGTGGAGAGTCGAGATTAGTCAAAAGAGTGGCGGGAAGGAGAGAGGACTAACTATAGTTTAGTATTCCTGTAATACAACATTCATTTCACTCGCGATCTTACTAACAGGAGATGTTCGATATTGGGAGTTGATGAGCAGGAAGGATGTGAAGTCCAAAGGACGATGGGATGCAATCTTGAAGTAGCTCGCGCTAAGTTCACCTAACCATGGGAAACGGGAGATTGTGATCGAAGGTAAAGACTTAATGAACTAGGGTATATAAAATTCGCACTACTATAATTATTGCTCCTTCATTATAGATCAGGGTCGCCTGGATGGCGCAGTGGTCGTGCGCCTCGGGTCCCAAAAGTCGTCGCGACTAACGAGTCTCGTCCCGCTCGCTAGGATGTGGTACGTGAGGGATGTTGGTTCGAATCCAGCTCTAGGCACCTCTTCTGTTGCCTCCCAGAAGATGACTAGCTGGTCTACCTAGGACTGCTCCCCCTAGGCCTAGCTTGAACCCGGATTCTGCTCCCGGTTATCACAGCAGCGGTTTTTGCCTAACCGAGAACCTTGGCCCCGGCTTCTGCTCCCGGATACCACAGCAGCGGTCGTCTAACCGAGAACCTGGGCAAAACCCTACTTTTCTAGAGGGGTGAGCCTCTAGAAACGACGAAGACTAAATCATTGATACGCGACCAAAGAGCTTGAGACTAGGGTGATAGGGCCCTACAACCGCGACCAATCATATAGCGAAGCGACCAGCCCCCCGGTGGCCGTCTAGGAACAGAACTGAGTGAGAGACAGGGCTGGACACCAGAGGCAGGGACAGTGGTCTGATCCCAGGGAGAAGGAGGAAGTTTGGTTCAGAGTTGCCACTGGACGAGTTTACCTAGGCCTCCCGATTATTTGCCTGTATTACAAGGGGGGTATGCATATCAGTGAGGATTCTTCCGAGAGGTTGCGTTAGCCTTTGTATATAGGATATTATTGTGTAGAAGTACCGCGGCTTAGCCATTGCGGAGGACAAATAATAATAATATAGATCAGGGTCAATTGTCGTTATACATCCACCCACTCCTCTCTACCTAATTCTACATTGTAAACTGCTCTTGCAATAATAATTGCTGGACTGCCGGGTCGGTCGGGGCCCGTCTTACGCTGTTTTGCAGGCGGTGGAGAACTAGAGGCAGAATGCGGTCGCTTTTTCGGGTTCTGCTGCTGCTCAAAGGTGCCAGGTAAATGATTTTTCGTTATACAATCTGAAGAATCAGGAATCTGTACTAGGCATTTCTGCCCGGCTTCTAATCCGTTGTCTAACCTGGGGGAAGATACAGCCGTTCTAAAATGACGTCGCAGTGTATATATCGACCAACCAGGAAACTTGGCTTGAACTTGTGCCCAGGGGCATCTTAGATTTTTTCTCAGATGTACAAGGTACTGTGTGTCTTCTGCAGTAAACTTCCGCTTAACGGGCATGCTTGTGTCTTGCTCCGCTTCTGAAGATGTAGGCAGGGAAGAATCAACGGGATGGGGCAGCTTGTGGTACCCTTTTTTTGGACCTCTTCTTACAGATCTGCAGTGTGCGATAATTGCCTCGATAGCCACCAAAGCCGATCCCTCTGATACTCTTTCTGGGTATAGAGCACTGACTAGTTCAGATCTATAGTCCCGCTCGGGCGGACGTACAGAGGGATATTGAGAGCGGATATATTCCGGGTTCTTGAAATATTCCTTCCGAAAATCTTCTCTTGTATTATTTTTCAAAAACTTCCGCCGCTTTGTTACGGCTCGACGCACGTATTCGAGGGCAGCGTTCACTGTAACCTTATTATATCCCTGTTCTGGATCGCCCTTTATTTGGTCTAGTTGAGTCTGTAACTCGTATCTAGCCCTGACTAGGCTCCTTAATTCTTCGTCATTATCGAGGGCCTGGTTTAAGAGGGAGTCTGGCACGTCTGGAACGTCTGGATCCCTCCGTAGATGCATACTGAGTACTTCCGTCTTCTCTGGTCGCGGCTTTTCTTTGCGGAAGATGTTCCCTGTATCGACTAGCATGTGTTTCGATTCGTAGTATTTCCGGAAGACGGTATCTGATTCGCCACTATGGCCCATGAGCTTCTTCCTCCGGGCCGCCGAGACCTTGCCTACCATACAATTAGACGGATCAAGCAGGCCGATAGGATGAAGAACTTACCGTCCTCTAGCATATTACCCATTGTTCTGCGTACATTATAGAATGTAAATCGCTGCTCGAAGCCGGCCTCGCTCACCACTCGCTGGGACTCGGATGTCACTCCACTGCAGCTCCATGGAAGGTTGGGTGAGAGCTCGGTGCTGCCGCGAGAGCGCATTCTTCGCAATATTGGTATCTGTAGCTTATCTCTCTTAAAGTGGATCCGCGTCTCGCCCGGCCCTGGGTTATGTCTATTAAACAGATCTGAAGGAGACGTTATCCCGCCATCAAACGCATCATCTAAGAAAGCAAGAGCAAGAAACCACGCGATCACACAATGGGCAAGGTCGGTCCGCTGGTAATATGTTACAACTAGCCTATAAGGGATCTCGTTAGCTATAAAGTTACACTAGCGCCCTCACCTAACATACTTGTCCTTGGTCTTACGCTCGTTCTTGCGGTTATTATATGTTATCTGCAGCTTAAATTGAGGGCTACAAACACCGGAGCTCGATGCAGGCCGTAAAAAGAGCTCAATATCCTAAGAGCACTAGTCAGTCCGAGTCAAGAGCATACGGTATAGAAGACTATACCCCGTAGCATATCGCTACCTCTTCCTTGCGATAGCTCTCCGACCGTACAATAGCCCCTGGCCGCTCTCCACTCTCAGAGACAAGCAGGTAGATGAGTACAAGCTGGGCTCGGAATCGATTATTATTATAGGCGTGTGGGTCCTCAGCTATCATGTACCGGACCATGATTTTAATATCCTCCCAGTCAGCATATTCTTTGTCTCGCTCTAGGTCCTGAAGTCCAAGTTCTTGGGCTAGATCGGTCCTAATATACTATCAAGAGTCAGCGTTATAAAACATCGCCTAGGCTAGGCTACTATACGCTCTTAGTTTCTTTAATATCATCCTTCGAAATATGATACCGGTGGCTCTTGTTATAGATAGACGCAAACCGTTCTAGGTTGAAGCATAGCGTCTTGACGTCTGAGTGCTCAGCTAGCCTGCCTTTACTCATCGTGGCACATAGCCAAGCAAAAAGCTGGAGGTTATCTAGATCAGGGACGGCGTCGGGCTCAGGTAACCTAGCCGTGAACCTAGAGCGACAAGAGTAAGCTTGTATACAGAGCAGAGTAGAGCAACCGGGGCAAGGAGGGAACCTACAACTCCCAGAGACTCAGCTGGTCGGTGTACTGACGTGCCGATGGGGCCGCCAATTTCTCTATATAGGAGAATGCATCCACTGGGTTTAGACGTCTTGCTCTAAGGGCCTCGCGTTTAGCCAGGAGGGCATCCATAGTGTAAAACAGAAAATGATCGCGATAATAGCGGTGATCGCGATAATAGCAATAAAAATGATAGCGGTAACAGTGATAAGAATGATAACGACGACAGTGATGATAGGGGACGATATAGGATTGGGGTTGGGGATGAGGGAGGGCAGAGGAGGGAGAGTAAAATCTGCAACGCTGACTTTGAGATCCGCGGCGCGTACTGTACTCCGTGTCTCTAAGCACCGAAAGCCAATGTTGGGATGCTTAGAATCCGCAAAAATTTCAGAGGAGCAGCAACAATGTTAAGAAATGAGTTATACCTCGCTATCTGCAATGTAGCACGCCAGAAACCAGAGATCGAAAATTTTTAAGGACCAAAATATATAGTAGGCACTTGCCTTAGGTTTAATCCTTATTCTACTATTCTACTAGTTTCTGTAGCGTGGGCTGAAGGTATCCCAGAAAAAAATATACGTACGCGAACGACGGGTTTTGGGAATACGGTAAAACGACAATGAGAACACGGTTTTTCTCCAGCCGGGCGCTCTATGTATCGCCCTATGTATAGAGCGCCCGGCTCGATCCATGGAGCATGACGATACGGGATAACGAGAGAGGGATGCGCACGACGAGGATCGGGAAAGCGAACTCGCGAAAAGGGGATTTAGATGTGAGAGGTGACGATAATGTCGTGGTGGTTGGGAGTGGTAGAGGAAATTTCACGGGCGCAGTGGGAAAATGGGAGTTGGAGATTTAAATAGCGGGATACGGGCGTCGGAATATTAATCGCGTCGCGAAAGTCGTATGGTCTAATGGTTATGATATCTCGTTCACATCGCTGAGCATATGACCCGAGATGGTTCTGAGTTCGATCGTAAGTGCCAACAGTACGGTCAGAACTCTTGTCCTTTAGTCTCTAATAAACTCCCAGCTCAGTACGACTAAGTTTAATTTTTTTTACCATCTTATTTGCACTGTACTAAGCTTATAATAAGCTCTTAAGTCAAGATATTATCTGCAATTTACAAATAATTGACCTCCTAACACACCTTTCAGTGGAATTGCTTGGGTGGCGTCTTCTTATAATCTTGATATTTTGATCTACACTCTCTTGGTTCCAGTGGACAATGTCGTTAATGCTGACCGATTTCAGTGCAGGAATCCAGCCAAACCCGGAACAGTAAAGTAAATATTTGGCTGCACTCTTCTAGAAGCGAGATGGTTTTTGACATTCCAATGTTGAATTTATGAAACTCAGAAGCTGTTTCTATTGTAAAGATATATAAACAAAACACCGCGTTCCGTTTATGGTTGATCCCAAGAGCTCTGAATCACCATTATCATCCCAACCCAGATGATATCAAGTAATATATTTTCTCATATAAACGGCATCTGTCCACCGGACGACTCCGTCAGAATCAAGCCTTTGCCATTTCCGCGGTACATCCTGAAAGACATCGTAACCCCTTCTCGCGTACCAACTTTGCGTAGACATCTATTTTAGAGTGTTAACAAGAACCTATTTCTTACCGGATCTCACTTACGGATGCCTTATCCGCGGCCGGTGGTGGGTCTTGTTGAACATTAGAAGTGGTAGAAAGCCAAAGTAACTTCGCACAAAGCGGTTGGCTGGCAGCCATGCTTTCCACAGCATCCATAGCCGCGCGACCGAGACCCCCGCCTTGCAATGCAGTTGATACGTAGAAGTATGCAATTTTATAAGATCCTTCTAGGACAAAGTCCTCGCCGTCTGCGTTTAAGGAGATATGGCCCACAGGAAGGAATCTTCTCGTTGGATCAGCAGTCCTCGAAATTCCACCCAAAGAAGTTGCCGTATCTGATAGAGGTCTCGCCTCCAAGGGCCATATCTTCGCATGTTCACTTAACTTCCCTTCCTTTGAAGGATATAAGTCTCCTAGAACCTGGAGACGATTAGATTTACTTATAATGCTTTCAATTAAAAAAGTTACCATCCATTGAAGAGCAATGGCCCCAGATCGTTGGCGATCTCGCCATGATTCCACATCATTCTCATACCAGCCACACGCAACACGTTGTTGGTAGAGCCTCTCGACCTGCTCCGGAGATTCAGGATCCCATGGGATCAGCACCATATCGAGTCTCGAGTTGGTCAACATATCGGTTACTGGAGGGGATCTAGAGCGAGGTTAATTTTGCTGCGAAATAATTCTTGCTTATCCAACAGCATCTCGAAAGACTTTTCGGTGACGACTCATAGTTGGGAGGTTGCCTTGGATAGGGCTGCTATATATATAACTTCCGGCGCCTAAAGAGGATCTCCACGGAAGTGCTTACCCGTTTGAGATTCGGCCTGCTGCAAGATAACGGAGTCTAGATATTAAAAAAAAAAAAAAACACATGGACACACGTGATCATATGCAGTTCAAATCTAGATGGGACATTGTTTATGGAATGTGAAGCGAAGGAAGGCCCTTGCCATATTTGGTGGCGTTGTTGCCAAGCATTGTCTTGGTAGGAATTCGCGTGGTCAATTCTGAAACCTGAATTTCGCCGCGAATTCCTCGTCTACCAGCGAATATAATCGCATCTATACAAAGTCCACCTCGAATTTTCGACCTCAAATCATTCAAATTTCTAATGCGTATTCATCTAAAACAATACGCCTAAAGGCCGATCGACGTAATACCTGTAGAAAGGTCACTCTGCGCCCTACAAAGTTTCAAAACCGAGACACTTCTCTTAGGAGCCATGACCACGGTCATTTCGAACCACCTTCAGATCGTAAGAGTTTATGTTGCTGCGCACACGGCAGACACATTAGAGTAATTACTAATCGCATTCAGGGACCCTGGTACATGACCGCGCAATTCTGGAAGCGCTCATCTGTCTTCCTGTCCATTGTGCTTTCGGCAGCGTCTCTTGTTCTCACTTCCATTTCAACTTTCAGCCCCGAACAGGAGAAAGCGCAGAACGGTATAGAATCTAATCCAGCCAAGCTTTGGTATCAAGCTAACCGTCTGAAGCGCTTAAAGTTGCAGGCGTAATCGTGAATAGCTTGTCAATCATGCTCGCCGCTGCAACCAGCTTGGACTGGAAAAAGCAAGGAACACATGACAAGCAATTTGCGGCTCAGTTGCTAAAGGTAACCCACGTGCATGAAGGAGATATCGTGGTGATTACTGCTAAGTCCTTACTTCGGGATGGGTCGAGTCAATCTTGAAGAGGTCGACTGCTGTCTCCTTCAAGATGACAGGAAGTCGATTGCGCATTGATATGGGACATGCAAAGACTTCGCCATGGAAATTGCAACTTGTCTGTCCGATATATTGCTGGCTAAAATATTGTGTAGCTCATGCACATAACTCCAGGAAGAAGGAGAATAGTATGATTGTACGGTGATGTAAAAAGCGCATCATAGCTTGCTTATTTCGAATGCAAACTGGTCTTCGGGCTGACCTTCATGAAGTTTCAAATGATAGGATCTATTTGCCTTATCTGAGACCTAAGATATTCTTCTCTATTGTCTTCACACCATCCCTAACAGCCGGGCAAAAATGCTTCCTCAATATCTCCCCCTCCCAAATCGTACTCGCAAAAGGATTGCTTCCTTCTACTTCACCACCGAGAGGATCAAAAGTTCCGTCGCCCCGTCTCTCTTCAGTATTCCACAAAGCAGCAATTTTTTTCTCATGCGTTTTGGTCACTTTGCCAAGGAGTCCCATTACAGCCATGCATGATTTTTCTGGCAGATGGAGTGAAGATGTCAAAAGTTGCTTTGTGAATGCTGCGATCCGAAGTGGAGGTACGGCACGCTGCGCAAGTGGGGGCAGTAGCACGGAGCTGAGGGATCGTAGGAGAAGTACCGTAGTCGTTTGCAGATTAATTTTGTTATCGGCAGTTGTAATAGCTGGTGGCGGATGTGGGTCGTTGGGGTCGGGAAGATGGAGCGATTTGGCGCTGAGCTCGATATCTGGATTAAGAGACAGAGCATATAGATTCCGGTAGAGGTGCGTTATAAAGAAGCTCAGATCTAAACTGAGCGTTGCTTTTGCCTTGTGTGCATCCTGGCCTTCAAGTAGAGCAAATGCCGTGATAATGCAAAGTAGTGCCTCTCGAGTGAGATTTCGCGTCGTTTCAACGTCGCCATCCTCTGCGTGCTCCATTTCCTCCACGTCGTCTTCCATTTCAGCATGGCCAATGAGATCTTTCAAAGCCTCAAGAAGATCACCGAAGAAATCTTGGTTGATGAGATGTGCGTAACCTGCCAAGCCTTCCAAGACGGCTCCTATTAGAGTTGGGGAGCGCATCTTCAGGATGCGGAAGTACGTGACGAAGACCAATTTCAGAGTTTCTGCTTGCATCCTATCTCGTTCTTCATGGCTCACTGAAGCATCTGCCTGTTTCATCTCCTTTTCAACTACCTTGCGCTCTCTCGATAATTTTCTTTCTTTCTTCGTCAGAAAGACCTTCTTCTGCTTAGCTTTCGCATTATCACCATTTTCCATGCTACGTTTATCAACATGATTCGTCGAGGCCTTCCAAGAGAATTCTGACAGTAATCTCAAATGCAAGAATGTATTCAACACACTTTCATCTACTCGAAAGCCTCTTCCCTTCATCATTTTCGTGAGCAATGCCACGGCATCCAGAGATGGCGTTCCGTCTTCGTCGTTGCGAAATAATGTTTCAATCGTCTCACGGCATTTGTTAAAGTCGTCATCAACCTTCCTTGTACTCAGCTTTCCAACTAAGATCTTTAGCAATTCACCCCTGAAGTTGAAGTGTGGCACCGAAGTTAACAGGGTGCATGCACAGTTAATTGCGACGCTGCTAAGGCTTGTGCTGGCTTCTGGATGTGTTCCTCTACCAGATTGTGCAAGTTTTGACAATTCTCGAATATAATCCTGATAGCTTCCAACAAGCGCCTGTTCATAGGCTCGTAGTTTCCGTACCTCCTTGGACACTTTTGCTTCCATATCATCGTCCGACAATGGCCGTATTCGATATCCCGGGATGACATCTTTGTAGACTGCTAACTGTGTTACCATGCCGAGCTTCTTAATTATTGAATTGGGCGATTGGGTAAATTGTGCCAGAGTTTTGAAGGCACCAGTGTTCTCTTCCGGTTCCTCATTGAGCAATAATGCAATGCGTGCTAATTCTTCCTTTGCCTCCAAGATCTGTTCTCGCACTGGTATTGTGGGCTTCTGAATTTCCTCTACAATTTCCTCGCCGGATTGTTGGGCCTCAAGCCATTCCAAGTCGTTCCGTTCCTCTTGGTTCTCTTCTGGTTCGTCAACTTGCTGAATTCGCCCCTCTGATGTTATTATTGGCAGTCGAGTGCTCTCTTTCTCTTTGTTTTTCCCTTTTCGTGGCCGTATCTCGTAGTCTTGTTCTAGATTCCAGCTAGACGCGTGTTTGAAAAAGGAATTCGTGTTGGGTACTGCTTCGAGAGTAGAAACGGCTAACTCTTCTCCGTCCGTTGCGAGAGGCGTCAGCTTCCGTCTCTTGACAGCAGGTACGCTACCCATCTCTAGGTTGTCGAGTATAGTTGATCGAAGATTGCGATATAAGTTCTGAAAAGGACCTTATCTGCCAGAAAAGTTTCCGTCTAGCGAAAACTTCCCCCACTAAAAATTTCGCCATCTAACTACGGGCTTGGAAAGTATACGGGACCTAACTTGTAATTATCAGTGAAGCATGCTGCCCCAAACGTAAAATTCAAAATCTTATGACTAGTTATATTACAAAATGTACAAAATTTTCCAAGGCAGATGAAATATTAATTGCAAGAGAACTCTCAAAAGGGTGTGGATTAAATTGGCGGACAGAGTAGTGTCACAAGTCGGACCGGAAAAATGTTCTCCCACATGAAGATAGAATAATTTCCAGACAAAATTATTCA